GCCTTGACCAATCACGAGTGTTCCAATGTTTTCGTGATTGGTCGAAGCTGTCGCTCCGCGATTTTCTGCGTCCACCGTTCCGCTCTATGAGTTTGCACCCGCAGACTTCTCTCTGCCTGAGCGGCCTGAGCTAATTTTACCGGCTCGAGTTGACTCGAATTGACGCGGGTGTCGCTAGCAATCAACATGTGCGCTGCGCGAGATCGGCGTCATCGGCGATTGGCGCGCGACGGGCGCGACTCGCTGCTTGAACGTATCGACGAGCTGATCGACGCAGCGAGGAGAGGAAACGCGCAATTTAAAATTATCTCTGACTAACGCGACGTATAATATCGGAGACGCTGATCGAATAATCGAGTTCGGTGAAAAGTGAGCGCTGTCTACGAGAGACCAACGATGTCCGTGACGGGTAAGGTGAGTACTTGCGCGCGATTTAATCTTTCGTTGACGCCGTTCGGTAGACGGACAGGTAAACAAATGTCCGAGAAAGAGAAAGAGAGAGACAGAGAGAGAGGACGAAAAAGAGACAGCGCAGGAATATTCCGTAGGCGTGTCGGTAGGCGATCGTCGGACGTTATTATGCCGCAACGTTTCGAACATTGACGTGCCGGCAAATCGCGAAAATAAACGTTGCTCGTTTACTCGAGATAACTGTCGCGATGACGCGCGTCAACGATTGAAATGAGATGCGCGAGTTTGATCACGGTTTCGATCTTACAAGTAGAAAGCCGCGCCGACAAAATTTATTGAACACAGTCTCCTAGATAGATTCGTAATACGAGATAGCGGGAGTTTCTGTTAAATAATTAATAGACATCGTCTATTGACTCCACCATGAATTTATTGCCCTTGGAGTGAAATCTCTGTTTAGTGGAAAATTCATTGTCAGATTCGTTACGAAAGAATATTTGATTGAATTTGGGCGTTGAAAACCTGCTATTTCATCCCTAGTAGCATAATATATTGACGCAACATTGGGAAATAATGTAAATCTGGTATTCCCAATATTGGTCCAATATTGGTCCCAATATTGGTCCAACATTGTAAGACGGACGCCTTCTCTTATTTAGCCATTGTGTCAATATTAGACCAGTATTCTTATTACATTGTTAAATATTGGCCAATGCATTTCCAGTATAAATCTAATATTATATAATTATTATCGTGCAACATTTGCATTTATTCCATGGCCAATAGTGGCGTTACGTTGGGCAATATCGGCCAGTGCGTTTCTAATATAATCAACATTAGATCAATGTTTAGTCAATGCTTAGCCAATGCACTGTGCTACTAGGGATATTAGAAACCTATCTCATTATAGAGGACATTTTCCTCTATTTGATTACTGTAATAATGTGTTGCATTCCGCTTTATCGCTTTACAGTGTGAAAGAAACTTCCTTGCATTTTTAAAAAAATTGTTCACCATTTATAAAAATTGTATGAATAGTTTTATGAAGCACTCCCCGAAAATGGCTCCCACACTTTTCAGAACCCTGGTTTTCGAATTTTTAACATTGCGTGTTTATTAACATTAATTTTTTGAAGTGATTTTTTGAGAATTGTTTATCAATCAGGTTCTATAAATTTTAGACGCTTATGTATCTAAAACAGTAGGCACAAAGCCTAAGTTAAATCAGTCGACCGTCCTTGAAATTTACTACGTATTCGACCATACTTCTCATTTCTTTGACAGGCAGTGCTTTACTCTTACTGGCGGAGTTCCTGTTCTTGGAGAGTAAGAATTGGTGAGAAAGATTTTGCTCGATTTTATGTACTGCACATATAAACTGTTTTATACATGTAAAATGCATATCTATATGAAAACATGTCTAACTGTAGTCTGTAAGGAACATATCAATAGCTGCAGTATTTCGAACATTGTTGCCGTAAAATATGCTTGATCTAATTTAATACTCGTGCAAGACATTTTATGTAATAAAGAATACTTAATCAAGACATTTATACAGCTTGTAACGCTATTTCATCGATAGAGAACAAGTTTAATTGTTGCTATCGTAGACGGTTTATGTTTTAAATATGGTTCTAATGTTTACTGATCTAATTATTTGCAATTTTTATCAATAGCATTGCATTTAAAGGAGATACCCCACGAGATAAAGACTATTAATCTGATAAAAGGCGATGGAGAACAACACTCGAACGAATTCTCAGAGATTAATCCAATGGAAAAAGTCCCTGCACTCCGTATCGACAATCTTACTCTGATAGAGTCTGTTAGTATACTCGTATCTAATCCCTCCTGGTTATCGCGAGCGTTTATCAAAATTCGTAATAAACAATTTGTATAAATGTAGATGAATATTCTGCAATACCTGGACGAGACTAGGCCGTCTCCTCCGTTGATGCCGGCGGATCCTATTAAGAGAGCTAGAATGCGAGAGATTTGCGATGTAATTGTCAGTGGCATACAACCGTTGCAAAATGTCAGTTTGCTAAAGCATATGGAAGAGAGGCGTAAGGAAGAATGGCCGCGGTATTGGATCATTAGAGGGTTCACAGGTATCCTAATGACAATATAAAAATTGTAATAATTAGGAACTTGCAAGTGAGCTTGCCATTTTTTCCTTCAGATCTCATATTTACATATAACATTATTTTTAACAGTGACTTTGTACATCTACGCTTTTATGATAAATGAATATTTAAATTTACAATTATAATTATTTATTGACAGTAAAGATAATCGAGAAAAATATTAGATAGCACGATCTCCGCGTGTGTTAAAGAGAAAACGTCTAATCGGAGACATACAAAATAGCGACGTTCAATAACAAGTTTATGTGTATAATTGAGCAAACATTGATAATACTGTTCTACAGCCGTGGAGAAGCTGTTATCGTCGAGCGCGGGCAAGTATTGCATCGGCGACGAGATTACGTTAGCGGACTGTTGCCTGGTGCCACAGATATATAACGCGCGAAAATTTCACGTTGATCTGACGCCCTTCCCCACGATTCTAAAGGTGGATCGTAATTTGGAACACCATCCAGCTTTCACTGCAACTCATCCCAACAATCAGCCGGACTGTCCACCTGGCGTTCAAGTAGCAAGCTAGATGGGCAGATCACTCCCTTCGAATTTTTTAGAAGGGTGAAAAGGATGTGATATAATGACAAAAGGTGAATGGATGTAGCATTTATTCGCACTTTCTGTACATTTTGAATTAAATGTATGGGCAGCAGTTAAAAATTGTTTCTACATTGTAAAGAAAAATGTAATTTAGAAAACGCTAAACATTTGATAAACTCAAATGTGGTCCAGTTCGTCTTGAAACTGATGGAATGTATCTTGAATTAACGTATCCAATCGTTGCGATAACGGCAAGTTAACTCGAACATCGTTAGAAGTAACTAGAGTCGCAGAGCGTACCCTAAAGATCCTCTAAGCAGAATCTGGCCATAGTATAACTAGTAGGGTTATTCTTGTGTGTGTGTAAACGTACTTGTCAAAGCCACACTAACACCAACCATACATACAATTTTTCTCGCATTAGTCTGCCCAGAACAATGTCGGATGCGCAGAAGTTGTCGACGCAAAACGAAACAACTGGCGGAGTGGACCTACTAATTATACTCGTAGATATAGTAAGAGTAGACGCTGCGCGTTCCCTATTTCTCCCGTGTTGAGACATGTACAAACTTTAGAATGAGATAGCTAACAGTTGAGTAGCCGCCTCATCTTTGTCTAATAAATAGTGCGGGCAACATAAGAATAAGGGGAATGATGGAGAGTGACAGAGCGAGGCCGACTGCTCAAAGCATGTTGCCTCTTTCTAACGTTTATACAGCTGCTTCAGCCAAACGCGCAGTCTATATATTATACGTCTATGGTTATACTATAGTCTGGCTATAAGAAAACACGCTGCGATTAGTCCACCATTTTTGGTCAATCTCGCCAGTTTTATAAAGTGGTGATTATTCAGTTTGGCCCCCTCACTTCCAAAATCGATGAAAATAGACTTAATCGTTGCATTTTCGTTCAGAACGAAAGAATCTGGCAGAAAAAGTGCTGCTCTGCTCCGCGAAGCGAGACATTAATTGTTAAAGTTAAGAAACTTCTAAGATTAAGGGCCACACATATAAAGCCCGCTGCAGACTATTTTCCTGCTGGATTGCTTGCAATCTAATAAATTACTATCATTGCACCACTCAGCACTCGGGATTTCTAGTAATTTACTAAACCGCGAGCAATCCAGCAGGAAAAATATCGTCTGCAGCGGGCTTTACTTAAAGCAAAGGGTAAGAAAAACCTGTCATACGGCCGAAATGCAAAGTATCTTCAGAGCTGCTTTCGCGAGAAGATCAAAATTTCATTGAATAAAATTTCAATGTGATGCTACGAAATTTCAGGTTTGACCAATCATAGCACAGGGTCATTTTAATCCGAATCATTTTGATCTTCTCGCGAAAGCAGCCTTATGCTTTGCTAACTGCAGAGTGAGATAGCACGATAGCACATATGTATATCTTTGGCTGTGTTCCCGATATTCACTGCCAGTACTGAAAATTTATAATATACGTGACGTGAACTATAGATTTGCAGTACTGGCGGTGAATATCGGAATACACAGCCTTTCTCGCAGGAACTTGACAAAAAATGGCGGATACTAACCTTACCGGTGATATGGCCAGACTCGGATTAAAGGGTCTCTAAAGTTTACCGACTCGAGTCGACGCGGTGTGTCGCTAGCGATCAGCGACGGAAGACAGCCAATATACACACGTGCGCCGAGAGCGGCGATTGGCCGCGCGGCTCGCCGGCTTGAACGTAGCGACGGTCGGGACGGCGGGGTGGGGAGAGGGGACGGCTGGCAATCGAATAAAAAGGGGGAGGAGGTACGATTTCGCGCGTTCGCCGCGATTCTGAATTATTTCCGACGAGTTGAGCGGTGTAATATCGGTGCCGCCGGTCGAATAATCGAGTCGGGCGAAAGGTGAACGCTGTCCGCGACGAGCCGACGATGTCCGTGATGGGTAAGGTGAGTATTCGTGCGCGATTTAACCTTCTCTCTTGGCGCAGGTAGGTCGGCAGGTAGACAAGTGCCGGGAGATGAGAGAGAGAGAGAGAGAGAAAGACAAAAGATAGCTCCGGACTGCGTGCAGGTGCCGGTAATCGCGCGTTATTTCGCCGCAACGTCTAGGGGCTAACGTCGACGTGCCGGCGAATCTCGCGTTGCGATCGCCCTCGAGATCGCGGCCGCGGTCGCGCGGAAATGAACCCCGCGGAGCACTCGCGACGGTCGTCGCGACAACTGACGCGCGTCGACCAGATTGCCGCCAGATACGGCAAGTCGAACGCCGCCGATCGTATCTCGCGGCCGGTTTTGATTCCCCGTACGAGGAAGCGACGCCGAATAAAACTCTCCCTCGCTGGCGAATATGTCCGACAACGAGCGCACACCGATGCATAGCGCGTCGTACGTGCCGGACGCTTCCGCGCCCGCGCGCGCTCGCGCGCTGTTCCGCTCGAAATTGCTGCGAGTAAGCGGCCGGACGGGACTCGTGAAAATTGTCAAGCTGAAAGTGCAAAAGTTAAAACTTGCCGTCCGCTAATTGCACACTTACGAACCTAATAACTTTTACGTAGGTTTTTTTAATTATGAAAACGATTTAACGATCTTACGATTTAAGGATCTAGATTTTCTCCGAGATTTTTACCACCTGTGAGAATTGCATAAATTAATTCACGTAAGTTTCACCAATTTGCAAAAAGCTGAAAAATGCGTTGCAATTTTTTTTACTACTAGCCTTTGAACTTGTAATACTGTGCGTTTATTAAGGACTCACTCTTTTAAATGTCCGTTTTTGAGAATTTTTTTACGCACTAATCGAGTTACACAAATTATCCGGCGATTTCTCTTTTGGACACTTATCCAAGATTGTAGGCAGAATGGTTATAATGAATGCGCATTTCGACACACGCAACTCGTTTACCTCCGTCGGTTTTCTTGAATATTTATCGGCAGCGCGTGGATCTGGTTTTACAACCGACTTCGGCTATGCTGAATCTTTTCAGCTGGCACAATTGGGTCTTACCGTGTGTTGACGTTCTCTCTTATTTCTTTTGACAGCCGGTGCTTTACTCCTACTGGCGGAGTTCCTGCTCCTGGAGGGTAAGAATCGGTGAGTGAGAGTTTGCCTCATTTTCTGTTACACGTGTAAACTGTTTTACACATGTGAAATATACGTTGATAACATCTGACTGTGATCTAAAATATAAGAGAGATATGAATTTTAACAAGTGTATTTCGAACGAATTTATTGTTACCGCAGGCAGAATTGTCCTGATCCCTGAATGTAATCCTTGTGCTAGACATTTTATGTAACGAAGAATTCTTAATCAGAATATACAACTTGTAATATAATTTCATGAGTTCACTGCTACATAAAACAGCCTATTTTTTTAATTATGTTCCTAACGTTTCTAATATTTATTGATGTTTGTAGCGTTGAACCTAAAAGAGATACCATACGATATAAAGCCCGTTAGTTTGGTGAAGAGCGGTGGAGAACAACATTCCAATGAATTCCGTGAGATTAATCCAATGGAGCAAGTTCCTGCGCTCCATATCGACAATCATACTCTGATAGAGTCTGTAAGTTATAATTGTTTTTACAATAATCTAAGTATTTTCGCAGAATTTCTAGTGATAAACTAATTGGCACAAAATTGTTTTAATGTAGTTGAATATTCTACAATATTTGGAGGAGACTAGGCCGAATCGTCCATTGATGCCGGCGGATCCTGTTAAAAGGGCTCGAGTGAGAGAGATTTGCGAGGTAATTGCCAGCGGTATACAACCGTTGCAAAATCTTGTTGTTTTAATTTACGTTGGGGAGGAACGTAAGAAGGAGTGGGCGCAGCATTGGATCACTAGAGGATTTACAGGTAATGACTGTAGCATCGCAAAGATTGTAGTAAGGACTGCTACAAATCATAAATACGAAACTTGATTTTTTTACCAAGTCTCTAGATTTAGATTAATCAATTTTTAACAAACGGTTACGAATAACTTTGTACAATATATCTAATGTCACCTTTAAATACTGGAAATAGGAAGATTATGAATATTTGCAATTATAATCATTCATTGAATAGTAAGTTTATCAAGAAAAATGTTGTATAACCGCAATTTTCGCATATATTAAAAAGGAAACGACACACCTAGTCATTTATATGAAATAATTTTTAATAAACGTTTCAATAACAGGTTTATTCTTATAATTAAACACTGATAATACTGTTTTCCAGCCGTGGAGAAGTTATTATCGTCGAGCGCGGGCAAATATTGTGTCGGTGACGAGATTACATTAGCGGACTGTTGCCTGGTGCCACAGATATTCAACGCGCGAAGATTTCACGTTGATCTGAGACCCTTCCCTACGATTCTGAGGGTGGACCGTCATTTGGAACATCATCCGGCCTTCACTGCGGCTCACCCCAACAATCAGCCCGACTGTCCGCCCGAGGCGACCAAGTAGCAAGCGAGGCAGACCACCCTCTTCCTCTTCTAATCTTTTAGGAGAGTGAAAAGAGGTGGTCTGGTATCATGTGGTTTCATATTGATAAAAGGTGAACAAGTTTTGTTATATTTCTTACATATTTCTTTAAGTTAAATAACATAGTTATCTGATCCAACATGAAAATTAATTAAATGTATCTTGTAATTATTCGAAAAAATCCACTTGTTGGAATAATATACTAGAAATTAACTTACATATATATATATATTTGTACACTATGAAGTGATAAGTTGCGTTATTTAACAGATATTGTTTTTTATTTTACAGATTTATGTGTGTACTTGAAAATTATAAGACTAATACATTTTCACCTTTTATCGTTAATGAACTGCGTATTAGCATTGGAAATGGCTAGCGGTGTCACAAAAGCGAATATATCGGGAATAAGAGGTTTTGATTTGTGAACATCTTGTTATAATGCAATGCCGCTTGTTTTAAAGCAAAGATACGCCATTTCTATACTCGTGTAAGAGCAAAGGGAAAGGTATATTGGCCTATTTTTTTATTTTTTTGTTACGTTTTCTACGATTTTACACAATCGAAATTTATCTTCACGCGGTATTTTTACACGATATTTTATAAAGATATATCGACCTATTCTGAATAGGTTCTGTTGAAATCAAAAGTTTAATTTTTATATACGTATTATAATTTTTTATTTTATATTTGCTTATAGTATGTATAAAGCATAAAGAGGAAAAAAGATGTCGCTATTAAATTCTAGTGAATACCCCGAAATCTTCGCTGGTATATAGGATAGTGACTCGTATTTATGTGATACGAAGTACACGCAGACAAATTCAAAACGTGAAGCGATTAAATTCGAAGGGGAACGTGTAATAAGGGAATGCGCTCTGCTCAATATCTCCCAGAATACCAACCAAAAGTACAAATCGCATATTTTCTTTGATATCCCAATTTTTAGAGAATATTACATTTGTTCGTTTTTTTACGCTTACATTTATTATTTAGAATTATATTTTTACAGTGAGGTACTCGATAACTTGAACATTTGATCGACACTTGTGCTTTTTTATATTTTAAACTAACTTGTACAATGGCGTGATAAGATGGATATTTTAACTCTTTGTGGTCAATTTTTTTCTGCAGATTAGTGAGGGTAAAATATTTTGTCCTCAATTTTATTTAATCGGCGGATCTAACTTAATTTAAGAACTGTCATGGAGATATCAAAGATATTTACTAATTGTAATTGCGTACAGTTTCAAATGCTTGAAGAATTATTTGGGTGGTTGTATATGAAGCCGTCCGTTGGCGATAGATGGTTTTAGATTTTTTCTTCGAATTGAAAGCTGGCAATACACACGATGACAGGTCTATAGAGTCACGACGACACGCCATAAGTGACATTTGTGCGACGCGTTAACATCATCTATTTTGATTATGTTTACAATGGCAAGTTTTGTTTCAAATAGGTCACATTTGCGGGAAGTTATGCTCCATTATTTCCTGGCACTGTCTTTTCTTTCGCTAAAAAATGGGCGGTTTCATATGCAACCATCTAATACGACTACCGAAATGCATTAAATCACATCTAATTTGATACAGGACTGCAGAAGGTTAAAACAATAATTCTTCCAATATGCGAGTGCATTTTGTGTTAATTATCTTTTTGAAATTTTTTAATTTTATCCTACATTCTGGTAAAGCTCACAGAATGAAACGAGCAAACCTATTGTATTGTATTTATCCGTATGATGCTGTAGCATGTTTTTTAATATTGCAGAAATTAATTTTTAGGTTCGAACGATATTTCTTCAGAGATAAGCAGATGTATACCGAAAGATGTATAACATTTTTTAAAAAGGAAAACAGAGACTTGTTGTATAACTGTAGTTAGATAATCTGTGATTTGTGTTGTGCGGAACTGAAGTTATTTCAGTCGCTACTGCAGAGATTAGAATGTGCCATTTATATACCGTTTTATAGTACAATCGCGAACGATTTCAAACGCAAATGAGAAACGCGTGTCCGCGCAAACAGAATCAAAGTATATATTTATGCTCTTACGAATAGTTTTCCAGTTCGAGCATAAACAGAGATACCGATATTTTTCACGAATCTTTTTATAGAAACGCTCATTGTAAAGCCATTGTTATACATAGTTCCCGTATGTGCTTCGGAAAACTTTTATACGCAAGCGTATGTTCGACAGAAATCAAGTCATGTAGATATCGAACACGACTGATCTGCAACCGGTGATCAAGTTTCACTTGGCATTCCTCCTTATTGCCGCGTTATCCCTCTCCTTGTTTTATAAACAGCATGTCACGATTGCATTTGCATACTCGGTATTTCCATTTCCATTTTCATTTCCACCACAACGTCTCGGTGATTTCTCGTATATCGCACACGTTGTGAACCTGCCTTTTCGAGACTTCGACGAGTACTTCTTCCACATGTAGCCTCCAGCCTTCGCAATTATTTTTCTATAGGAAATATAGTATCGTATAACGAAGGTGTAACAACGCTGCACTTTCTGACGGAGGATTTAAGGATTAAATATATAAGATCGTCGCAACTTGAAATCATCGTCCTACGTATAGTGTACTCTTGGGACAGGTAAAAATCGTGCATTCCGTGTCTACACATTCACACATAGAGGTATATATATATATTATAAACGACCGAGTGATTAGATAATATGTATATAATCTTTGTACGAAGCAATTTCTTTTCATTCCCGCTCTACTCAAATACTCGCGGTACTAACAAGAGTATTTATGAAAGCCGATCAAGATCTTCGGCAAGAGCTGCGTGTCTGTTTCGTTTTGATAATAGTCTAATGTAGACTATTGATGCGATTTGTAGAAAGAAATACGAGCGAATCATGTCTGTCTGCGCTGACTTTGGGTGTATTTTTAACGAGTAGAATATCGCATTTCTAAATGTGATCTTGTGTCGTCTTCATCCCGTACTTTGTTCGGCGTTTTTCTACCTGACTTGTGAGAATTTGTACAAGCGACAAGTAGTCATGTAAAAGCGGAAAGTTGATTTTATCGAAAACGAGCTGTGTTATTGTAGTTATCGGTAACTCTTATATGATATTAGGTATCTAACACTGGAATATTACAGTTCCGTAAGGTATGCTCGACATAGTAAACGAAGAATTAAATTTTGCCGTCTAGTTGCAGCCCCGAGGCTTATATTAATTCACCAGAAAACAGTTATAGTTTATTAGCCTTTTATGGCATATTTTTTTATTCGCAGCAATTTTTACCTGCGATTTAGATGAGGAAACTGTGCCCGTGATATTTTAGTGCTAGTGGCGAATCGTCTTGTATTTTACATTTTTACGCGAGAGAGAAAGTTAATCTTTCGCTTTGGCGCTTCCTTACCCTGCGTTTTCGCTTCGTAGTTTTCTAAAATGTAGGTCCGTAGATGCTTCATTTGTATACTTCTTTCGAGTCGGATGATTATTTGATTTTTATTCCCTAGTTATAGATAAGACCGTACTCGCTTCCGTTGATTCTCCGCCACTCCGTAGAGACTCCTCGCTACGTATAGATCTTCCTGCCGTCTCGTTTCGGACGAGCTGGCGACGTGTCATTAAAACGCGCGTGATATACACACTATAAGTGGGGAGTAACAAAAAATATGAGTAATGAACAAGATTTGCGTGTACGCCAGTACCGAATCCGACGAGATAATAACCGTACCACACAAAATTAAGATTTCCCGTCAGGTCCTAAATAGATTCTTAGACGGCGTGTGACATTTTCGCGAGAGGACGAGCGTGAAATCGTTTAAGTGAGAAAGGGAGAGTTGTATAATATAGCGACCGAGAACACGATCTCGTGAAAGAGTACGGAGCGCGTAAATATTTTGTAAGCGAGAGAGAAAACGAAAAAAAAGGGAAACGATCGCGCTGTGTATGTTCACGCCGCTTGTAGCAAATAAAAGATTCTGTGTCGATAGTGTATGTATAAGTACTTGGTAGTAGAGTCGCGAACGAAAAAAAAAAGATCAAAACAGTAAGTGCATTCGTAATTGTACACTTATTACTCGAATAAAGAGCTGCGTTTTGTCTGTACTTGGCAGGTCTTTTTATTGCGAGCGAGCTGATGTGAGATCCCGCAAATATACGAACGCTAATGACCCTCGTTGTTTCTCTTGTCTAATGAAATCTGCACGATTTCCGCCTTTCGAGCCTCATTTTTTACACTCGTGCGACGTAAAGGAACAATCAACGTACGAATAATCTTGGGACGCTAGCAAACGTAACATCCATCGGGTCCTCGGTGACCCGGCCGAGCGTTAAGATAATCTTGCTGATCTTTAATCCGTTGCGTCATACGCGTATACATATAAATGATCGTCGTGAAATGAAAAGAATTAACGAAAGCGATTGAAAATAAATTGTAGGACTTACCGGTAAAAATTGCATCGAACGCTTCATCTGCCTGCTGGTCTCAAGTTCTCTCTTTAAAAGAATCGGATCGTCATAGTCAGAAACGTAACTTCCACGACTCGCGATCTCGATGCGAATCGTTAGACACACGCGCAAGAGCTCGAAATAAACTGTCTGGGACTGAGTTAATTATCCGTACAAAAATAGCTTTTTATTTGTTGCTTCTTCAGTTTACATTACATGTCATTCTCCCTTTATCAAAAGCTCGATAATAAGATCGTTCGAAATAGATCGATAATAACTCGATCACCGGTCTTCTGCCCGCTAATATATCACCTTCGAAAAGGTATACCTCCTCTGCCTTATTTACAGATTCGTCGTGTAAAAGAAATACAATCCTTCGTTTCTCTCTTTTTTTTACTGACTAGTTAGAATGGCATCTCTTACACGCTCGAGATTATACGCCTAAGGGAATGTAAGAGAAAAAAAAGGAAAAAAACAAAGACGCGTGTATTAGCTAATTGTCGGCGTGCTCTCCTTTACGAGATACGCACATGGTGTGTGTGTGTGTGTATATGTTATATACAAGAATACAAATGTTCGTTCGAATATGAAATATAAAAAATCACGTGTGTGTATATGGTATGTGTATGTTTGATATGTGCGCCTGCCTAAACGCTTTGACTGTCTCGTCGCATTTAGATAACAAGATTAGCTTCCGCAAGGGTCTCGTCACCCACACAAATGGGGGGATTTTTTATTTAGAAAAATTTCTAAATAAAATCTGATATCAATGATAATGGATTAGATATAACAACGGCGCGCTCCCTTAGAGATATTAATTTTTAATCATTGCCTTCCTGTCCCTCTCTAGAAAAGCGGAGCTAGAAATCTCGAACTCGATGAGCGTTCATAGAGATTGAAATAATAACGATAAACGCTACGCTACTTTCGGAATCGTTCAGCTTCGTTCTATGATTTTCTCCCTTTCTCTCTCTCTCTCTTCTATTTTTTTTTGTCGAAATTCGGAGGGTCGTCTCGTCGCGGTTTGTCAATTCGATGTCATCGGCAGTTCATCCACGCTCCAAACGCGAAAACTCGTAACTCGGACCTTACGAATTTCCACAAAATTACAAATTGCGCCTTGTTTCGTTCTAGGCCGAATATGTGGAAGGGAGACCAGAGAGATTTTGGTGAATGAGAAACGATGAACGCGTATGACATGATCATACTGCGACACTGAATGGACTAATGGATGGATGTATGGATGGTGGCCAGGTCATGAAATGAAGAACAACAGAATGCATTTAATGAGCGATTGTTTATTATGCTCTTATTATGGTCACTTGTCATACAGGTAACGATGCTTCTCAATGAGTGAAAATAGTTAATATATCATGTTTGTCTGTTTGCTTTTTCTCTCTCTCTCTCTCTCTTTCTCTCTCTCTCTTCTTTACTCTTTTTTATATAATTATTCAACATTGAATGGAATAAATTGATGATGAAAGAGAATAACAATTTATGGATGCAAATAAATGTGGTTAGAGTGTAAAGTAATATTAAGATTAGCCCTTCGGAAAAAAGAAAATGCCTGTGAACTAAATTATACTTCATCGATAACAATAAGTGGTGCCCAAAGCGGTCACGTTAGGACAGCAGATAATTGATAAACTTCATCGACGAGCGAAAGTGCAAAAGTAAAACGCGTATCATCGCTCCCTTTTCTTTCTTTTTTTTTTGATCAACAAATAGAGGATTCTCTATCGAAGTCTTTACGAGCCGTACGAATATCCGTACCCTGACAAAGTCACACTGATAAAATCATGTCTCTCGTTTTGCTTTCTTTTGCCCATCGTACAATGCCTCACACACGATTCTTTGCCGTATATAACACTACTCCACATAGGTCCGTGGTATCGTCGATCATCCAATGTTATCCGACCGGAAAGCAATAGTCCTTCCATGTTTTTAGGACCCGAATTATCGAGCACCGAATAACAGGTCTCACGTGGAACGAAATCCGGCAGAGATCGTGCGACGATAAAATAGTGCCAAGAGTCACGTGGCTGTCGGTCTTGCTAATAAATAACAATTGACTCCGCGCTAACAAGCTCTGACGGTGACTTCCGTCATAAGAGCAAATTCAGAGAAAGGAACATAGCAGCTCTTGTGACTTTTGGTATTACATTTTTCTCGCTCGACGAGAGAGTTCTTCTCCGTTTAGGATGTGCCTGGATATCGAAGCGTGTGATTCACATTTGAGAACTGTCGACACGTCTTGTTTAGATCGTAACAATGGACCGAGAAAGATCGCGCAAAGGTGAAACGGCCGTGGCATTCTCTCGGTATCTTGGCCGGTTTCTCCTCATGTGCGAGACTACTACTACAGTGTCGCGATGGAACAAAGATCAACCATACCACGGATGTTCGTATCGTCGATATTGTATATCGACAACAGCGGAATTACAATCTTTCGCCTCGTCTTCCCGAGTCCCTGTGCTTACTCGTCTAAAGTATATCCGTACCTTCCGTAGAGTTACGATTATTTTTATTACTTAAAACTTATCGTAAATATCGATAATCTTAGCTCTTTCTTATCTGAATCGCAATACCCTTTTTCTCCCACCCTTCTGTTTTCTCCACCCTCTCTCGCGGAGGGGCGAGAGACATCTCGGAATATTAAAAAATACGCAATTTTGCCCATTGCTCGTAATGCACCGTCGTTCTCGTGTCGTGTCGACAATTAAGAAAAAAAAGGAAAAAAAACAAGCCGAACCGTCTGTCGTGTGTACACAATTGCGGGATAAAATGTGTCGTGAGTGACAATGGATTTTCGTCTAATTGCGTGCGGTGTAATTCAAATTCGATAAAACGCATGATGAGAAAAACGCGCTGCCGTGTGTATGCGTGTGTATGTACGTGTATGCATGTTCTGTGTATGTCCTTAAATTACTTTATAGCCGAAGGAATGTAAGGTACAATACTTGATCGTGATTTCACCATCGGTGCGAGACGAATAAATCTCTCTATGGTACCTTCGCAGCCAGCTGCTCTCTCTCTCTTCCTCTTTCGCTCTCATATATCTCGATTATATATATTTGTGTATATATATATTTATATATATGTATATTATATCATGGAAGATAACGCTATTTTCCCTCTTTCTCTAATAATTCACGTCGTAATTGTGACGCACGAAAAGACTTATCGCGAAAGTAAAACGCAAACGCGCGTTCTCTCGTTCTCTCTGCAAAATCTTCTATTCGCGTGTAAGCATGCACTTTTGACATTATACAATGTGTATGCGTATGAGTGTGTGTGTGTGTGTGTGTATATGTGTGTGTGAACGAATCGTGAACATTTGGGATGAGAGCACACGCGCACCCACGTGCACTTGCGATTTATAGCAATACGACTACTTATACTCGACAAGGTACTCAATAGTCTCCTCTTCCTCACTTTCTCTTTCTCCCTCGCTACTTAATGTTATTTAACTGTTTTTCTTTAATTCTCCATTTTAATCCCCGAGCTGCTACCTGTACTACCTCTAGCTCAACAACAACGATCTCACGTCCGAGAGTGTCTCTTAATCCTTTCTTTTCTTAGTTTCTTCTTTTTTTTTACATTACGCTTACCCAAAAATAATATACCATATTAACAGCCTAACTCTATTAATATTCTCACTTCCGACAAAATAACATTACATACAATTTTGTACAACCCTCTTAATTATTTCGTAACGAACGTGTTCTAATTACCGCGGACATTGTAACGCCGTCTCGTTACGTTTTCGATACACAATTTTCCTTTACATGTATGTATATATATATATATATATATATTATTAATATTATTTTACTTTATTCTCTCTTTAATTTTTTAATCAAAGATGGGCTTTAGCGCGCTACTTCATGAGAATGCCGCTGACAATTAGGAAAACGAAGATATCGTGATATGAGAATTATCTCGAGTCGCGTTTAATCGAATGATTTCCGAGTGCTTGTGATCTTCGATAATATTATCTTTATACTTTCGTACTATATAAATAACTTCGTCTCTGCTATTGTCAATCAATGCGATAGGATGCAATAAATAAACTCTTTTCTTTTTTTTGACGTTCTCTATAGCGATATCTTAGTGTAACATGTCTTACCGTTATATATATATACATATATATATATAACGTTTTACATTGATTTCCTTGGCTATCGGCAAATTCGCCCTATCATTTAAACATTTGATTATAGCGAACGATTGCAAAAAAGTGGCAGTAAACTAACAATTAGAGGAAACTTTACAGAGACAAATATAGAGACATTTTTTTCTGAAGCAATAATTAACCGTGATATATCTGAAACAGTTTCCTTGTACATACATGCTTGTGTTTCCTTCTTTTTTTATTCTGTTATTGGTCAATTGGTATATAGGCCCTCGATCCATCGATACGGACATCTATAATAAAACTCTTTTTCTTTTTGCGCGAATGACTTTTAAAACGACTTTTAAAATATCGTTGAATTTGCCTGATCTTGGAACAACACTTACATAATCCATCTTTCTCGTTTCTTCTTTTTCAGCAGCAATTACGATGATTAGTTTCGATCCAATTTGCCAAATTGCTATGCACATTGTTACAATGTATCTTAATATCAATTTAGACACTGCTGCATCTCTGACTTTAATTATTACCGCCGATCAAATATAGGACAATGCTGGAACAGGGCGCATGACTGTGTAAAACCGGGAAACGCGAACGTGTAACGCAACAACATTGGAATCAATGTATCCTCTAAATAACATCCCTCTCAATTTGCAGCGGTCAGTATATATTATATATGGAGAACGGGCCGTTACCATTTCCATGTTAATCTTTCTCATTTTTTCTTTCCTACAATATCCTTGGCTGTTATAAAAATCTCTATTTTCCATGTACTGCAAACTAATTGTAAGAGTAGGTGTATAATAAAGTATCTCGTAATATGCTCCATAACGACGTTATTTAGTGTATTAACGTGAAATAAAGGATATAGTCCGACTTTTATTGAAAACGGCCTGCATGCGTCGCGCAGGAAATACACATCTTTAACAACACGTTTCTACTGTTAAACGTTAACAAGTGTGGTGACCGATGGATGGCAAGGAAAGGAGATGGACGGGGAGGGATTCAGGGAGAGTTCGATATGGCACTAAAGGGTGTGGAGTGTGGGCGACACGCAGAAGATCCTATTCTTTCTTTCTACCCTTGGCATAAAACGCGATTCCGAATGCCGTCTTTTTCGCGTTCTTCTCCGTTTCTTTTCTCTCGACTCGCATCCGGTTTAATGGAGCTTAATGCGAAGTGCAGCGATGAAAAGTACGATGGAACATGATTTTTACGATGTAGCCTAACACACACAGCCAAGTAACGTGACACGCGAGTCACCCTCCGCACGGCGACGAGTGTCAAATTCAGTTAATAGTTACTGTAACAATAGTCATAATTAGAATTGAGGCGAGTCAATGCAATTCCTACAGTTCCCTGATTACTACGCTACACCTCCACGTTTTCTTTATATATATATATATATATTTTTTTTTTACGAGAGTTATAATTTAATTTTCCTCTGCTTAATTCGTTCCGTGTATTCTCATATGCGTGTGCGAGCGTACACGCCTGTATATAGATACGTAATTATCTTCCTTCTTTTTGTCTCGGATAGAGTCGATCATTTATTGTTTCAACCTGCTCAAACCTGTAATTTCGTAAGAGATTTGAGAAACTAGCTACACACAATCTATGCCTAACTGTGTTTTGCTGTGTTACAACTATTGACTGGCGACGCGACGCGTACACGCGCGTTACTCGTCGCGCCGCGGTCCACGCGCTTAGCAGGTTTGCGAACGGAGAAATATATCTTAAATCTGTACAAAACAAAGCGCTGTATGAAAAAATAAAAGACTCTCCTAACAAGGGCGGGCGACGACTGCCGGTCTATCGTAACATCGTCCTCTCGCTAAACAACTCGTAGGTAACACTGACTGGCCGACCAATACTGCTTTTGCCACCTTGTGCAGATGCAGCCGCTGCGACGCCGCGTCGATCGTTTCAGAAAATCCTCAACGACGCGCGTGCAAAAGTTTCATCCCTTCCGTTCCCATGATCCCAATTGGAATCAAATCGTCCTATTCGTGTACGCCGATTTGCTCTGAAATGTAGCAAAAATAAGCGAGAAATATTTTCCATATCCTTCTTTCGATGACCAATCGTTTCGCGTGATTGTTGAATGAGAAATTTAAAAGGGAACGGCTCCACCGAAAGCGCGGTTCTGCTTGGAATCGTTGGAATCGGAAAGGACTCTGGGCGATCCCTATCACGACTCAATATTGTTACAAAATATCGTGATACAATAATTTTGTCACCAATACATACACATAACGCCCTACTATTAATATACGTACAACATATTGCGGTATGTCGATTGTCGACCTAATATTCGTGACAAAATTATCTCTGCCTCAATATTGGCCGCACACGGGGCCCGATTTTACGCAGCTTGAGTTTACACGCGGAACCGTGCGCTTGTTGACGTTATCGTTAAACACCTCGGTACTACGTAACATGTCGAAGATACATATATGTGTATATATATATGTATATATATATATGCACATGCTACTGTACTAACGCACATACACTTACGCCGTTAAGCAACATCGGAAAATTCCGCCGAAAGTGTTACTTTGATAATGCTACTGCAATTTGTGTTTCGCTCATCTGCAGGATATTATGAAGCGTTCCTCAAAAGTGAATGTATAAGAGAAGGCCCGTTAACAATACTACGTCTCGGAAATGTATATTGAAATTTCTCCCGCGCTATTAATTTCTCGAATCTTGAAAAATATATATGCCAAGCACTTGGCCAACCTGCGTATTGAGATTAGCAAATCCAATCAATTGGAGGCACTCCCGTTTCTCGCTATTTTTTTTTCCACCAGATTGAACATCAACAGATTGCACATCGCGAGGAAACACTCGAGCCGCTATCGAAGTAACGTTCTCGACGTAAACTCTGCGAACTCTACGCACAATAGCATCGATGTGGTTACTAAAATGTAACAGGCGGTACACTTGAAACCAACGTTACACTAAGGAGAATAATTATGTTAGACTGGCTGATCGCGCTATGGCCTCTATACGTGTATAATCTGTGCTCCGTTCACTTGTATTTGATTCTTACCCGGAATATTCGCAAGGAGATTCGTGTTCCACGAATTATACGCGCTTTATGTAGGAAGGGAATTGGCTTCGTCCTCATCTCCTGTCATCTCTCCCATCGTGATAAAAACAATACGGACACATGATTGCGCGCGCAAGATTGTTCTGTAACATGCTTAACCGGGCATGTTAAATTTAATCGTGCACACTGACAAAGCTCCTGTTTCCTTCCTCGATCTCTCCTTGCGTTGGCCGAACACTTTTTGCATGTTGTCGCAAGCACTTTACTTTACCTGCGCAAATAAATCCTACAATTTTACATTCTATCAAACGTAGCTCGTTTCGTGTCATCTTTCATGTACTGGCAGCTGGTATAATATACACTCTCTTTTCGGCTTTCCATCACAGCTAGTCTTATACGTAATCTGCTCTACTACGGAATGTTTTAATATCAGAGAACCCGTAACCCTATCTTAGTTTAACGTGGATGCTACCTACAAGTTGTTCGCCAGAGAGAAATCTCTTCCCCCTCGTCCTTCGCCTACGTTTTCTCGCTCGGCTATTGCGTTTCTACAAACATGTACGTCATAACTTGTGTCATTTGTACCAACAGGCGATGCATATCACAAAATTAGTGTGCTCTATACTTGGCGCTAACGAAGACACAACGCCTACGGCGGTTGTTTCTTTCAATTTATGTAAGTTGTATCGTTCAAACACGGCGCTAAGATTGCGTGACTATTGCGAATATATGGCAACGGACGGTGAACGAATTTGGAGACTGATTACGGTCAAAGACTCGAGCCACCTAAAAGAAGTGTTCGCTCATGCGAGCAACCATTTCCCAGCGATCAGGAACACAGTCGATGAGCGATTTCAGATGAGAGTTAAAAAGTTTGTCGTCCAATCTCGTTCAGCGGGCGTTACAATCGGATGAGACTACACAGCTATTTCTTATAATTTTAACAACGAGAGAATACAAGATAGAGGTACCAATTATCAGAGACGATAGCTTCACAAATTCAACACTGTCTACAAATAAATATTAGGACGATAAATAACGTACGAGCGTGAATATGAAGGACGAATAAATAATATTAAATCTAATAGATAACGTACATATTTGTAGCAGTGGCAATGTAAAACTGTGTGTCCTACACCAACATTCGCGAGAGATGAACGACTAATGGCAAATTTCAATGACAAACGCCTCCCTTGTTTTTCACGCACTCAACTCTAGTATCGCGCGATTAAATTCAGCAGTATCGTTCGCCCTACCGGCAGTCAGCCAGATAATATTCGTAGCCAACTATAATAGAAGAAGATTTTTAATTCGATGAGAATCAGTAGTAGTAGCCAATCTAACATGATGACCAGAGAATGCATGACGATGGTTATTATATATTAATCAATATGTAATGAAATATATTATGCTGCCGTTAGCATTAATAGCACAAAGGCCATTAGAACACACTAATCCATAAATTAAATTAACACTAGAATTTACATTTATGCTCTCTTAAAATTTTAGAATCGATCTATCTACAGCAACCTACTTAATTATTCCATATTTCGGTGACTTTTCAATGTATTTGGGCAACACAGTGAAGTTTAATTGATAATAGTTCACATAGAATTTATGGATAAACATAAATATGTTTCTCCTCTTTGCGGACGCAAATATTTTGTCAACAATCTTTTATAATATCAATCCACGTTTATATATATATATATATATACATATACATATATATATACATATATAAATGTTTGAATATATATTATATTTGTGTTAATATTTATATATACATACATATACACATTATTTATATTTTAACGTTTCCTCTTTTTGTATATAATAATCTATAATATATCTCCTTCTGTATAATATATATATGTATATATATGTCTAATATATACACATATATATGTATATATGTATGTATAGATATATCTCTGCATAATATATTATCGTAATTATCCCCGTTATGCGATATTTATAAATATACAAGTCATTGTTTAAAGAACGGTGGGCAAACGCCTCCAATTATGAATTAAATGTGTACATATATGTATATATATATTTGTGCACTTGATTGTGTGTGCGTGTATATATTTATACACACACAGACACTCATGTACAGTTATATATTTCATTAAACGCTCTATATAGCTAACATTTCAATAATCATTTTAACTAAACCCATTATTGATTACTACCTAGCTCGTATCACCCCTTCTTATATTTTTGTTACCTACTCCCACAGAAAGAATGATTATAAAAACCTCTCATAGCGGATATCTTTTCCTTCAATCGGCGGAAACGCAATAGATTTATCTGAAAATTTCTTAATCGACCCTAACACATTCAATGACCTATCGGCTCGTTTCTCTGTGAGAAAGCTCCACGATTCATTAAAATTTCCCGTTCGCATTTCGCATAAACAGAAATGTTGCAGCGTTTCACATAAAACGCTTCTATTACCATAGAGAAGTGATGTGGCTAATAATCGAGATTTTCCAAGCTTTAGTAATTAAAACGGTCAACAGAAGATTATACCAACGTGTCTACAATCAAAAAGTCGACATCTCGGATAAATCATTTAAAATATACGAAATTGCATACGGTAAAAAGTCTCGCGCGTAGCGAGAGGAGACAATCGAAAAAACGCTCATGTACAAGTAAAAGATTTCCGAAAGGGATTTGAAACGAACGTTCACGTCATTTCAAGAAAGCAAACGCCCATACACACTACTTTCTCCCAAAAGGCACGTAATAATAAATTCCAATGTCAAATCCGATTAAATAAGACTAAAGTAAAATGTACATGTATACATGTATGTATATATACATATATATACATATAGATAGATTTTAATCGCAGTCAACTGACGATCGCCTTAGATAGAAGAGGAAATAATTAGACTAAAAGTTTTATATAAATAATGGAACAATTACGTAGATTATCCGAGAATATCATCTCACGTGATGCGCAAAAAGTATTGCTTATCCTAGTGAACAAATGCTAACGCGCAAACAGATTTCCATTCCTTAGAAATACACGTTAAAAAGTAACAACGTTTGACGTTAAATTCTATTATATATGTAGCTTTGTATATATTAATCTCTTCTAAGCGCTACGAAACTTAAATGAGGTTCGTTCTGAGATGAAGACTTAAAGACGCTTTGGAATTAAGAATATAACTTGGCAATAAGGAGTTATCCATTATTTTTTATTTAGCTGGACCAGCCAGCGGCACATTGTAAATATATAAATATATATTTATATATATATATATAGAATAGCTCTCACTTTGGATATACATATATATATTAAACTTCCAGCCAAGGTATTTCTGCGTTGCATACGGGATGTGTCTCGGGAAAGATTTACAAATTTCCAAGACTAAACATTTCAAGTCTTAAAGGCTTGTAACCTTTCCTTTGTGAAACATCCTGCGTATATAAACTCTTTGGTTTTGCCAAGATATTACTCTATACTTGGTGAACAAAGTAAATAATGTATTTTGCAAAAGCGAGAAAAAGTCGATTAGTCTAAGTATTTCCTATCTCGAAAGACAATGCAGAATGTTGATCGTGGAATCCGTGTCTCAACATTTCAGTTGACCAGTCGACGATTGACTAAGATTTTAAGTGCCGTTTCAACGCTGAGTTCTGTATGAGGTGATCTCTCGATTACGGTGAACGTGTCCCATAATAAAAACTTGGGGATGCGATTATCCAGACAAACTGTCTGTCTGTTGAGAAGAAGCCGTATTTCCGGATGTAGTGTAGTGATCGGTGTGGCGTGAACATTTGTGTGGCTAAGAGAGATGCCGTAATCGTATATTCCGGATCAGATAACAATTATATATAGTGGATTACCTCAATACGGTAATACGCTATAGACAATAACAACTAGTTATTCGTGGCAACTCTGATGCGGTACGCGCGTGTCGTGTGTGATAAAGCCCCGTAATGTGGTGTATCACAGAACAATCGTAGTAGTTATATATCGTACAACATACATAATATTCATATATGTATATATCATAATAATCTTAAAAGATAGATAAATGTTGACGAGCCATGATGGATGTTTGAATGTAAATGATGCGACAATGCAAGCGCTATAGTGACAACGCAGCGCGATAGATGACAACGGGCGGTAAATTGGCGATGAATGTGTACATATATGTACATATACACATATACGTATCCAAGTATGTACATGTGTGTATATACATATATATATATTATTTTTTATGTCAAAACTATAAGAGGAGAGAAGAAAACCGCCGTATACGGGCGCGCCCTCCCTTCTCTCAGGGTGTGAAGAGGTGAACAACGGAGCTCAATAATGGGGATGAACAAGAGGAGTGCTGTACTTGAAATCAATGGATCATACTGGCGATGGCATTCTGACGCGCTCGCTTTGCCTCCTCTTCACTGATCCTCTGCTCGATCAAGTACTGAGCAGTGTTGATCGCATTGGGATAACCCGTGATAGTCACTATGCGGTTCCTGGTACCAGGGGCGAACATGCCCTTCTTAGAGATTTGTATGTTGGCGCCACTTAGGTGCTGAATCTCAATGAGGGCACGACCACCGGGTCCCAGAATAGCTCCCACTATAACCTCTGCAATTTCTATGTCTACTTTCTTGGTCTCCTTGTTGTTGGCGTCTACCTGTGTAGGACTCTTACTTACAAGTGATAACTGGTTAGTGCCCAGGCCGAACGAATTGTTGTTGAGGTGTATCGCGCTGGCGGCGGTGTTGTTCTGCCGGAACGGATCGAACGGCTCGTACCGATCGAGGGTGTTGCGCGGCGTCGGTGAGGTTGACCCGAGCGCAGGCAAGGTCCCGATCGGTCCGAAAACACCGCCGTTGTTGTTCGAGCCGTTCGCGGTTGTCGTACTGTCCATCGGATTGCCCAAGTAGCTCATACTCGATGGCATCCCGATTCCCATCCCGAGGATATTGTACTTGGCGAGGGTCGCGATCGCGGAGAGTATCTCCGAGGCGGCGGTATCGGAGAAACCTGTCGTACGTAGATTCAGCTTTATGTGCTCCAGCAGCTGCGACGTCACCGGTGCCGTGCCGGTGGTGATAGCCGCGCCCAGGTTCAGATTAAGACTCAAACCAGCGCCATTCAAGAGACTCACTATTTAAAAAAAAAAATACAAAGTAGGTAACACATCGGTACCCCGAGTTCTTGTATCACTTTCTAAGTGTGAAAATGGAAATTTCATTCAAGTAGAAAACACTGCAAGTTTTGCAGTTTCCTCTCATATCAGTGATTTACTTTTCTTCTTTGAGAAACTTGAATTTTTAAGTTGGGAGAAAAGCGAATTACATTTCATTCAATTCAGTTAAAAAAGATTAAGGAGAAGCATGCGCGCGAGCGCGCTCCTACAAGCTCACATCTATGAATTATTATTGGACGAATGAAACATTATTAAACGACATTCATACATTTGAATGTATTCGTCGCATGGGAAATGTTTTATGTGCATTATTAAAAAAGACTCAACTAACCTGTATTTAGACCAGCTGTAGATGTGTATGTGGGAGTGCTTGTGGGAGCTTGAGCGTACGGGCTGCCTGTTGGATTATAGTTGGCAACGGGGCCACTTACGTCCGCGTAACTGACATTAAGACAAGTTCCGCTTTGCGGATCATCCGCCACTTTCGCTAAGATCATGTGTAACGCCCTATGATTATTTTCTTTCTCACCAATCACCGTTATACATCGCTCCTGAAGGGACAGGTCCTTAGCCTTCTGACTGATCTGAACGTATGAACCAGATTCTTCTTTAATTTGTTTAATATAATTTCCAGCTTTTCCTATTATCATCCCCGCAGTGCTGTTAGGCACTAAAATTTTGACCTGAAATAACAGTTGAATACAACATTTGTGTCTCGCACGTTTTTCTGCGTAATTATTATTGACAATGAAGAAAATTACTGATTACGTAACAACAAGTTTGCATACGTTTAGAAAATATTCTGAATATATGTTTAGAAAAAAATTAAGAAACAGCCGCAGACTCTCCAACGGGATATACAGGGTGTTTCCTCTAACAATAAGTTGAACACGTAGAATATCGCAAAGCGTATAAGTCCCAGAGGAAAACTTTTCAGGCAAAAGTTGTAGGGTTTCAAGTAACGCATTACATAGCAATATCAGTACGAACTTTACATACACGAAAACTTTCAATAATTGGAGCACTATTGCAACAGCATATTCCTGAGATCAAATCAAGTAGAAAAGTCCTGTACTACTTCCCCCCCCCCCCCCCGACAAACAGTTATCGAGATATCATAAGCTAAATATTGAAAAAGTTATCAATTTTCTCTTGAATATCTCAAAAAGTATTAGGCAAACCAAAAAATCTTTCCAACAAAAGTTGTTCATATTAATTAGTATTATAAGATGACCTTTACGTGATCTTGACAACGCCACTCAAGGTCATACTGATACTGCAATGTGTTACTTGAAACCCTACAACTTTTGTCTAAAAAGTTCTCTTCTGGAACTTGTACGTTTTGAGATATTCTACGTGCTCAACTTCGAGGAAACACCCATTTTTGTACGAGGCTAAACGATAAAATTTTTAAGTGGTAAAAGAAGCACGGATTTCTTTAAAAAGGCTAGCCCGTATTTCAATCTTATACCTGCTTGTCCCTCTCCGCAGTGGTTTTACCAGAGTCGAAGTCAACCGTAGTCTTCGCAGTGAGATCGGGCTTCTCGCGTATTTTGTCCATGATAAACTCCATGACCTCCATAATGGCGTCTACGGTGCCTGTGATGAGACATACTCTCTCGGTAGTTCCTGTAACAGACGGACGAGACGATAATCAACGGAGGGCGGCCGCGAAAAACGTGCAAGAGCGCGCAAAGTGCACCGTACCTGGGTAAAAATCATGCGATTTAGACATTTTCACCCTTGCCCCTGTATCCTTTTGAAGTTGAGCAATTGTATCTCCACCTTTGCCGATAATAGCCCCGGCCGCCACGCCGGGGACCAACACTTTGAGGTGATACGTTCCATCTCCCCCTGCAAATCCAGAGCAAACAGTTCTCTTAATTACGCCCTGCATGTGTAACGAACGTCATTATATGTAGAGTGTACCGGACTTCGATTCTTTGCGCCAAGAGGAGCAATTTCATTCCACGATAAAATTACGTTCAAATAAATGCTCTTTTCAAGTGGTAATCATTTGGATCTCTCTCGAGGTATTTTACAATTATGCATATCTGAATATCATTATTTCGAAACTTATTTGGCAAGAAAGAGCATTTTCTAACTGGCATCTTTGAATGGTTAAAAGTAAAATAAATCGATCAACACGTGAACAATTTTGATCCAATACGTATTCCGAATATATGCTTTAAAACATTTAATCGGCTCTTTTCAGGATTGTATAATCTTTGGACCTGGCTCGTAATGTCTTTGAAGTGGATCCAAATTATTCATATATTACCTAATCTAATTTATTTCATTTGCAGCAATGGCTTCAATTTAGTAATAATATAGCAGTAATAATAGTCGACTTTATATTGGAGAAATTTTTCTCGGGTTTTCTTCTAGGTAACTTCTATTTAAACGGACATTTCAGTGTCACGCGTAAATCTTACGAAATTTTTAGGGAAATTCTAAAAACGTCAGTGCGCTGACGCCATTAATTTATGCGTTAATCGAAACGCTCGTTCATTAGCTTCAAATTGCTCTCATTTAAAAACCAACACTCTGCCGCAATTTTATCAGAGAGAAAAAAACATTTTGCATTCGGCACAGAGAATCGCACTGTGCATTTCATGTGCGCAAATTCTGGAACGCTCCGCATATTACGCGGCGAAGTATGAATAAAAGCACGTATTTCGCAATCGACAGAAAAATATGAGGGTATAAGAGAAAAAATTATTATTTAATCGTGTAACGTGAGCCAAAAGAAAAAAAAATTTAATCTTCTTGTCGACCCTGTTTTCAAGGGGCTGTGTAATTGTGGGGAGTTCAGATTCCCCCGATCAGGGCATCTCATAAAAAATCTCACGTGGTTACAGAAATTAAGTGACACGTTGTTATAAAGGTCTTTTGATTTGGTCCTTTAATCGGGGCCTTTTAAGATTTTTTTTAAGAGCAGCTATTCTAATCAAAGAAATGAAGCGGCACGAATTTATGCACAGTCCCCTTAAAAATAATTGACACGTTTCGCACAAGAAGTCACTTAAAAAAAAACAAGGAGGTAAAATTTGTTGTTAGCTCACCCTGCACATATATTACAATATATTAAAATATGTGAATATAAAATGTACGTAACACTATATAAAGAACAAAAAATGCAATGCGCAGGATGAAATGATGCACGTTTCGAAATATACTCTTTTCTCCTTCGAAAACGAACTAAAAGTGAAATTTGAAAAAAAAAATCATTGACGCAGGGCGAAACGAGGTCATTGGTCAAAAGCTCTGTTGATGCGTCGAGGCGACGCATTTTTGTCGACGAGAACGTGAAGTAATAATTTTCTCTAAAATTGTATTAATCGCCGTATTAATCTCTCTTTGCGCTCCATCCCTGAGAGCTGCGCGCTGTTGTTGCAACAGCGAAAAACGTCGCGTTGCCTAGCCTAGTCGGACGAACACCTGACTCGCTGGCTCGAGACGTCAGATCGATGTCTGCGCGCCACGGAAAAATCGGGGGATTTCCCGACCACGACGTCCGGCACAGGTCCCGTGATCTCGACTCGCGTTTCGCGAACACGGCCGCGACCGATCGACGGGGATCGAGGAAACTTTGGGAAATCGAAACCGGCTGGCGTCGACGACGTTGGTCAATCTAGTGACGACGCGCGAACGAGAAGCGAATAAAAAAAGGAAAAATGACCGGCTACGCAGAAACGAACTTGCTCAATTAACGATTGTCAGCGGTGGTTCTGCAACGAGTATCGGCAGGTTCCGACACGTTTGCGGATTGCCAATTCCTTCGCGATCGGCGGTATATCGATTTGTGTAACCTGGAAAAGGTGCGAAAATTGGAAAGAAACAGGTTGACGCCCGATCGGGGAATCGATTGAGGAGATCGAACGCGGATAAGGCACGGCCGATGATTTTGATCGGGCGACTTGGCTCGGCGCAACTCGCGCTCTCTAGCTTTTCGCCTCTCGAAGTTTACGCAGGAGCGCCCGACTCGACAAGATTTGTCCGTACGGTAAACTTGGTTACGTCATCGATAGACAAACGAGCCGATCACGGTCAACGGCGGCTGAGGCAAAACAAAGGGAATCGATGACAACGGCGCCCGTCGGTTAGCTCCAGCTTCGCGGGAGGATCACTTTTCAGATCCCGTGACGCGATCGGAGAAAGAGACGGCGAACGACGGGAGGGAAGGAGACAATCGCGGTCGAAAAAGGGCGACTTTCGTCCCCGACTAGAGACGTCGGGATTGAAGCGTCACGCCGCGACAAAAGGCCGTATCGACGTGGCCTAACCAAGACGCGGAGTGGCCCTCGGCTGGCCAACTTGACTTCGTTCCGGCCCTTCCTTTTAAACGGGCGGACGCGGTCGTACGGTACCCCGAGATCGATGCGATCGGAGCGTAAGGGACGACGCACAGCAGGAAGCTGGACGTGCGGGAGGCAAACAGCTGTTTGACAGATGGAGGCCCTGCGCGCTGCCTCGGCTCGGCTCGGCCTCGCTCGCTCGCTCGCTCGTTTGCTAGCTGGCTGGCGCTGGCTAGCTGGTTGGCTGGCTGGCCCGACGACCTTGACCCGTCAACCTCCTCGGAGAGGTGGAGGGACGCGAGGTGGGTGCGTGCGTGCGTGACAAACTCACTCACCGATGCGCCACATCCTAGTGGGCGCCGTCGTTCTGCGCGCGGGTGGCAGCGGCGGTGGCGGCTTCTCGACGACGACGGCGGCGACGACGACGACGACGACGACGACGACGGCACCGCGTTACAGATACGCGGCACGGAACGGAGCGCAAAGTGCTGTGACAGGCACGCGCCCGTCAGCACAATGCACGGTAACGGCGATGACGAGGACGATGACGATGGCGATGACGGGAACGTAGCGGCGCGGCGGAAACGTGCGCCGCTATTTCCACGATGCTTGCGCGACAAAGTTGCAGAGTCACCGTAGGAGCAGCCACCGCCGTGGAAGCGGTCCTCCATTAACGTCGTTCCACAGGCACGGCCGCCCACACGTAGCCGAGGGAGAGCAAGAAAGAGGGAGAGAAAGAGAGAGACGGATGTCGCGCGGACGGAACGTCAAAATTCAAAACACCGTTTCCCGCTGATCCCGGCTGGTCGTCCAACCTGGATCGCACGCGCGCGACTCCGTAGATCGGAGAGAGGACGGAATACACCGATGGAGCGAGGATAAAGAGCAAGAGAGACGGACAGAGAGAGGGAGAGAGGAAAAAAGAAAAACGGGGCGACGAGGCAGGCGGAAGGAGACGTGGCACGGGCGAGGATGCGCGAGGCGAGGCGCTGTGCACTGTGTTCGTACTCGTGATACGTATGAGAAACCGATCCACCGACTGGAGCCCCCACGAAGTGGGGAACGAAAGGGAACGGATCCGCTGTGTCAACAGAGCGCGGCAAAGACGACGACGACGACGATGACGACGACGGCGACGACGGGATCGTCAAAGGCGCGAGAGAGAGAGAGAGAGAGCGAGAAAGATAGAGAGAAACGGAGGGAGGGAGGGAGGAAATAGAGGGAAGAAAAGGGACGTTACGAGCAGTCTATTACGCGATCGGCGCGCGAGTATGCGTGAGAGGAGATTAGGCTGCGATGACGCCGACGACGACGACGACGACGACGACGGGCGAGCGAGCGAATGAGCGAGCGAGCCAGCGAGTGAAATCGGCGCGATCTCGCGACGGCGCCGCCGGCGACGTTGACGCGCGGCGTCGACGACGCCCGAGCGTAAATACCTGATCCGTAGTGCGACCTCTTGGTCGCGCCGTTCTCCGCGTCGCAGTCGAGCGGCCGCTTTCTGGAGTCCGCAATCTCCGGGGAGGGACACGTCTCCATTCCTGAATCGGCGGCCATCTTGGTTCGCTCGTTGCGCGCACGTAACCCGCACACACGCGCACGCACGCACACACACACACACACGCACACCAGCCGTGCGCGCGCGCGCGCCCGCACACGCACGCTCACGGGAATTACAGAGTACAGAGAGCAGACGGCGCGCACCAGCGGCACACAGTCAAGTCGGATGATGTACACCACACGTACTCCGCACACCCTCTCTCTCGCTCTTTTCTTGCCTCCTGATTGGAGCAGGGGAGGCCTGGATGGCGAGGGGGCAGAGTGTATGTGTATGTATGTGAGAGAGAGAGAGAGAGGGGCAAAACGCGGACGAGCGCGCGCGAGCAGGACGAGCGATGGTGGAGCGACGCTGGTCCGTGTGCTGGAGGAGGCAGAGCAGACGATGCTCGCTTCGCGGGGGCAAGTGTCGCGTCCGAGAACGAGGTGGCTGGCGCGCGGAGCGGAGAGGCGCGACGTTACGCGCTCCCTCGCGAATGAACGTACCCGCGACGGAATCGGGGGGGAAAAGGTGGAGGGCGGCAGTGGCGGCGGACACACGCGTGGTAAAACCCGCGCCACGGGTACGCGCGCACGTACGTACGGACGGACGAACGAACGAACGAACGAACGAACGAACGTGCGAGCGAGCGAGCGAGCGAACGAATGACACACGCGCTCGCGGGGTGCCGCGTCTCACTGGCGACTGCTCGCGGCTCCCTTGCCAACCAGCTGGTTGATACTCGCGCAACTCTGTGTGCCCTCGCACACGTACACCTCCTCTCTAGGTTCTCGCCGCGTCTCCGTCTAGCCCGCGGTTGACCTACCGCTGCTCCGCCTGCGTCTCTCTCCTTCTTTCTCTTCTTCCCTCCTGCGCGCGCGCGCGCGCGCGCAGTCTCTCTCTCTCTCTCTCTCCCTCTTCGCGCGGGCTCCGCTCGGCAGCGGCGGAGCGAGCCGAGTCTGCCGAGTGCGGGCCGCCCCTCTTCGCCACCCCGTGAAAAGTTGGACCGATCGGACGGATGCTTCCGGGAGCCTTCCGAGTCCCACGGAACCGCGCGGCGAGTGTTGCAATGCAACGCGGCGGATGGTGCGCGCTACGCGTTACGTAAGCCGTGCTGCGGGGGATATAACGGACGTAATAACCTGCTGGCGCTGCGTCGTCCTGCGCGCCTCGGCGGCGCGCGCGCGCAGCCGCCGCCGCGGAGTGACGTTTGCCGCGTTCCGCCGCTTTTTAATTATTACGGACGATTGGCGGAATTTTCGCCCACCTTCGCGCGCACGTACTCCCGATTAACGCGTAGGATCTGTACTAATCAACTCGGTTGGTCGCACCAGTGCGCACTGAGTGCGCGCCAAGGCTTGTTCCCAGTCAATTCTTGTATTTAAAGATCAACTTGGAGTACCTCTTGCAATATTTGTCGTTCAGAAAAATCGGTCTGCACGACGTTTTGCGCGGATCGTTTTTTGACCGAGTACTCTTTGAACGTGCATTTGAGACAAAGTTAAATGCAAGAACTGACTATAAACAGGCCTTGCACTCAGTGCGCACTAGTGCAAGCAACCGAATTGGCTGATAAGAGACAACAAAGTCGGACTCCCGCGTAGAATCCGTAACCGCGACGTACTTTTCTCGTCGGACGTTGAAACGTGCGCACGGTGCGGCTGCGGATTTCGCCGCGCTCCTCGCGCGCGCGTTGGACAATCTTCGGCGACCTTTACGCGTTTTTTTTCCCCTCTCAACACGATAGCGCGGCTCGTGTTGCATTCATGCGCGACGCGACGAGCGACGGATCGCACGATAGCGCTCGAGTCCCACGGATTCCTTATCCTTGGCGGTCTATAAATGTATCGCGGCAGATATACCTCGGCGATGATGCACGTTTCAGTATCGGGGGCAAAGTTCTCTCGCAGAGAGCACCGCGCTCCTTCTTGCCGGACGTCAGTTTGGAGTCGGTCGGAGGATGGCTAGATGACAATTGCCACACGAATGCCCGTCCGCGCGTTTGTATCCGTCCTCAAGATCCGCGTCGCACAACTATGCACGCTCATGGAATCACTTGATGCCTTCCCACATGAATTCGTGCATGGCACGCATCAACACGTCTATACATTTTGCATACACGCGGCGTCATTAATGCCCACCCATCTGAAGTTGTGCGCGGACTGTGGCATGTTCGAAAAGCGACCCTTTAATTTTTCCTGCACAACTGTGGAAACGGCGAATCGGCATTGCCGTTGCCATAATTAAGGCTGGTTCATGCAAGGCCGTAACTGTTAACTTATGCCGGAATCGGTACACTGAGAGATCCATTTTGTTGAATGAAACAAAATTTAGTTGCAATATATTTCGAATAATACACGACGTTTCGACCAGTAATACTGGTCCTTCTCAAGTGTCAGTGGCCTCTCAGTGTAAAAATTGTCCAATCACCGTTAAAAGTGACGAGAATAGTTGACTGTAATTGGTTAATTTTTACCGATTCCGGCATAAATTAACGGTTACGGTCTTGCGTAAACCAACCTTGAGACTGATATTACACTTGTCGTACGACAAATTCTTCAAGTGTGTTGATTGGCCGCGGGATAAGAAAGTTCTCGAGGATCTAGAAGTTTTCTAGCTTGTATGCCAATCAAGGCGCTTAAAAACTTTTCCCTACGACAAATGTAATATTAGGCTTATGATGCATGAAAATGTAGAAAGGCGCACGTTCTGCAAACATGCTTCAATCCGCGAACAACTTCAGATGGATAGGCATCAATGACGCCATGTGTATCTCGTTGCTACGATGAGCGGGCGTTATCATTGATTCGGTTCAACTTGAAAAATTCCCGAGTGCAAGTAGCTAATGCGATCAACGGCTAACAATTGGAATGTTCGGACTTGTGGAACAAAGATACTCGGCAAGGAATAGTTAGCGTAATAAACATATTCGCGAAAGAGCACTCGAAGCAAATTCCCTCGTTGCGCGGCGACTTTCGAGCGCGCTTTGTTAAACAATCTTTGCCATCCTGTGCGTTCGTGAAAATGGAGTTTAAAAGTAATCGTCTCGGATCTTTTCTCGAGATTACGATCGTTAATCGGTCAGGATCACGAGTGCTATGAAAATATGAAAATTGCTATTTTTAGCTGACGTCTCGTCCGAATCGAGAATATCGATATTTTTGTCAAGTACAGTTGTGCTATTTGCGCTCCGCGTCGTTCTCTTTCGAACAAAAAGTCCGGTGCGTTAATCTATTTTCGTTCGCTGCTGGCAAAATTAATATAGAAATGCAAAATCGTGTTTCGAGCGCACCTTCAACTTCGTACAATGCAACGCACGCCGCGATGCTAGGCGTCGGTTACCGTGCTGGCATTTATTAGCTATTTTTCCTTACGGCGATTAGTCACGATGCGTGTATAACATCTGGACAACAGCGCGCTGGATGTTGACGCAGAAAGCGCCCGTACGCATTGATGCCGAAGAATGTTGTGACATTTTACGATCATTGTTGACGTACGTGCAACGAGTCGGCGCGAACGCTTGCGCACGATACTGTCTGCGTCCCGGATAGTCCGGGATGATCCAGGACGGTTCGGAAAGCGGAGACGTAATCCTATACACGTATCGCTCTCAAAGTAGGGCAGGATAGAATAGGTGTACCGTTTTCAAGGTTTCCCTGCGACTCGAGGGGAAAAAAGTAGAACGGCGAGATCGGGCCTTTGGTTCATGTATACATAATGTCGCGGCCGTGCGTTACGCGTGCTTGAAAGAGAAAGAGAGAGAGAAAACGGTAGATGGATTGGACAAGCGATAACTCAATGTTCGCTCGCAATGGCGGGGCGTTCGATAATAAACACGATACTCCTCATCGACCGAGTCGAGGATCGTTTCTAAAGAACGAAATGTCAAGGCGTGAATAATTTTCGGGTGGCAGTCGCGCGAGGGAGATAAAACCCGGAAGAATGCGGTAATGAAGTGATCATTGGTAAAATGTGTAAAATGTCGACTGGTAATCGCAAAGAGACGCGGAAGAACTCGTCGAAGTGAGTTTAAGCGTAATACTTGTACAAGGAAAACTACCTTGTTTGTAAGCCTCGCCTCCTCGAATACCAAGTATATCTTTTTCCTAGAACCAAGTATACTTTCCGCTAAACAAGATACAGAAATGATGTACACACATTCTTCCGCGAGCACGACGCTACAGCGTATCATTTACTGGAGCGAACACGCTTTTTTTTATAGAAATACTCAATATACTTGAATAGTATAGAATTCAGGGTTGAGAAGTAACTTCGTTACTTTATCTCCATCTGTAACTGTAACTTAACTCAGTTACATTTTTTCGATAACTATAGTAACTAATTTAATATAGTTACATTAATAGTTACTTTATATACATCTTAAACCTCCACAAATCGCATTAGGCCTTGCATTTTGCGCATAAACGCCTTTATCGACACTTAACAATTCAAATGCAGATTTGCAGGCTACAACACGCAGATAAAACGTATACAAAATCATATTCAATTTTGAGAATAGAATTGATATGCTTGACAGCACCCACGCTGCTGTGCAATGTGACATGCCTGAGCGCGCGAATTTCGAATAAATTGATTTGTCGACTTTGAACAGTTCCCATTTAAAAACTACTATAGCCTCGACATTTTGGTACGAGGAGTTTTGTCCCAAAATGATCTCAAGAACCTGCCAATAACAAGTGTCACGTTAGATTTGGTACACCCTGTATATTTTAAACCTCCACAGATCGCATCAGGCCTTGCATTTTGCGCCTAAACGCCTTTATCGACACTTTACAATTCAAACGCAGATTTGGTGTTTTTACTTTTATTGCAAGAAAGTAACTGCAAAGTAACGATTCGTTACCTTTTGAGTGACTGTAACTAGATATTTTTATCAAGTAACTTCTCCTACCCTGGTATAGACGTTACAGGCTGAGAAATACATGGATGATCGATGGAGAATCTAGAGTGTATATATGTATATGCGTGGTCAGAACGGTCTTAGCTTCGTAAGGTGGAAGCAAACAACTCTTCAGCTTTGCCTCTTGGTACTCGCCACAGTTTTTGCTTGCGCGACGCCGACGTATCGCGACCTCCGAGCCGCCGAGTGCGTTATCCATTAATTTTCTGTACCATCATTGGCCTATTAATTCCTCCGTTCAATAAAGCAACGCCCGCGATACTTAACGGGCCTGATAACGCCGATAACGACCGGTCGTTAATGCATTTCGAACGAGGAGGGACAGAGAGAAGGAGAGAGGAAAGGGCGCTTTTCGTAAACGGCGCCGTCGATTGAGCATTATTGGTCACCGAACAGGGCGGTTGATAACGGATCACTAGTAGAAATCTTTCGATGGCTTTTCGGATCTTTCGCGCGATTGGTCAACGATTGTGTAATTAAATTCCTCGGTTGCGTCACCTATTCAGCATCCGCTAAACACGAGAGGGGAAACGAGCGAGTCTCTCTCTTTCTCTCTCTATTTTTTCTCC